TCTTTCTTTCTTTCTTTCTTTCTTTCTTTCTTTCTTTCTTTCTTTCTTTCTTTCTTTCTTTCTTTCTTTCTTTCTTTCTTTCTCTCTCTCTCTCTCTCTCTCTCCCCCTCTCCCCTCTTTTTGAAAACCTCATCAGTTCATGAAATAGTTCTAAGTACTGTAAATGTATAAGGCATTTTAAGATGGGAAAATCTATATTAGTAATATTTTTTAAAAAAACAAGTAATTTAAGTTTTATATTGTAATGGAATGTAATTGAGATTTGGGGGGGAGGGAGGGGGGCTGATCACTGGGTTGCTGCTTCAGGGGTGGGAAGGGGGCCCACAGAGCCCCTGGATTGGGTGGGTTGTGGTGTCCTCGAAAGGAGCATCGATGCTCTTCTGCTGAGCCGCTTCTCAGGAGTTGCTTCAGTTGCCTCTGGCAGAGTTAAAGAAAAGAGTCTATTTGGGTCTGGAGAGGAAAAAATGCGGCAGCGTCAACGAAAGTTCAGGATTTGAGCGCACCGGCATCCTTTGGCTAAAGGCTGAGCGAAGGAAAAGCGGCTTCCATCCATCCAGCCGGCAACACTCAAGTCCCCACACACAAGCTTGTGCGCCTCCGTCATCCTTCCTCCATCAGCTGAGTTGCGTTGCCTTTCGCACCCGGACTCATCGTCTCTGTATGTTGTGTCGTCGGTTTAAAAAGAAAAAGAAAAACCACGATTGTAACGCCGACCCTTTGAGGTGCACAAAGTGGATGTACTTTAAAAAATAAAGTAAAAGCTCTTTCTCCAAAGAGGCTGCCCAGGCAGCTGTGAGCTGGCTCCACCGTACACTTAAAGCAACCAACCTGCTGTGCCCTCGCTTTTTTTCTTTGCCTCAGTTTCCCCGTCCTCGTCCCAGGCCAATGATTTCAGGGAAGAATTCGGGCCTACTTGGGCAGTGGGGGGCCAAGAGGAGCGGTGATTGGCCCTGTTGGGAAAACCCTGCAAAGTCAGTGGGCATTGGGCAATTCCTCCCGAGAAAGCCACCTTTCAGACTGAGGAGCCCTTGTCGTCTTCACAGTTGTTAGTCCCCAAGTTGTGTCAAGACTCTTCACAACTCCATAGGCCACCGCCTGCCAGCCCTCCCCCTTCCTCCTCCAATGTCTCCCTGAGTTTGCCCAAAACATGTTTATTGCATCAAAGACCCTAACCCAGAACTCTCCAAACTTGGCAGCTTCCAACTCCCAGAATCCCTCGAGTCATGTTAGCTGAGGAATTCTGGGAGTTGGAAGCCCACCAGTCTTCAACTTGCCACATTTGGAGACCCTGGCTCTTGAGCTTCCTGGATTGCCCTAAACCAAGGTATCTCAACCTTGACCACTTGAAGACGGGTGGACTTCAACTCCCAGAATTCCTGAGCTAACATGACTGGAGGAGGGATTCTGGGAGTTGAAGTCCACAAGCCTTTAAAGCTGTCAAGTTTGAAGACCCCCTGCTCTAACTTCTGTTGTCCCCTTCTAGTCTTCAGCCATTCCCAGCATCAGGGTCTTTTCCCATGACTTCCCAGTTCATCCCAGCCTGTGTTTCAGGATATATTGGGGATTGGCTAATTGGCTAATTCTGATGTCTCTTAAAAAAAATTACAAGTGCCTAGAAAAATTTAGGGGCCATTTTTGTCCTTCCAATCAGCCCTTCAAAAGAGAGGTTTCCGTTATTTTCTGCCCCAGTTCAAGATGGTGGTTTTTAAAATAAGTTTTAAGCGCTTTTGTTTCATGGGCTGTTTTCGCCACTACTGGCTGCAGAAGGGTGACCTCTGCTGTTCTTTGGGCTGGAGCACATTTTCCGCAGCAGCAGCATCGCATTCAAAGGGGCTGCGTGCGATGTGGCTCACTCACTATGCAAGCCAGGTGGATCCTGTCACAGAAAAGTAAGGATCTTGTAGCGATGCCCTTGCACGCACGCGATCCGTTGGTTCCTTTGCCTTGTGCCTGGAATTGGGGAACGTTCAGGGTTATGTTCAACCAGTGTGGTTGGTTTGGGGCCTAATGTGACGCATGGTTTAGTACCACCTATGAGGTAGGCTGCAATTTGCTTCTCAAACCACGGCTAAGAGCCTCCATTGCAGATTCAGGTTTGGCTCGTGCAAGGTTTATTTAAAACAGACTTTGTCACTTAAGTCTCATGGGTTTGTGCAAGAAATGAGAGCAAATAGCTTCACACTTCGTGCTGAGTAAAACTTAGCTACTTAACTGAGGGACTGAATCCTGTCTTTGCATTCTAGGAGGAAAAAAGGGGACGTCCTACATTATTTGGTAGTTCCACATTTTACAGTTCCGTGGTGGCATGGATCTGTCCGTGTCAGCGTAATTATGTTTCATGCCACTATTGGCAGGATTAGACCAAAAGTTGGGGCAGAATCCTTTCTCACAGGCTCCGATGCTGAAATTCTACTTTGCCCGCAGGAGGTGATGTATCACCCAGAGCTGTTTGGGGTTGTCTGTAGAGATTCTCCGTCATCATCCAGGTCCTGGTTGTCCCAAAGGTGCTTTTTTTTTCAGGAGGCAACTGGACTTTCTAGGGTTTTTTTTTTCTTTTGAAGAGGTTTCCCTTCTCATCCAAGAAGCTTCTTCAGCTCTGACTGGATGGGGGGGGAAGGGAAGGATTGATACTCCTTGTGGACAGCTGGTTCACTCTCGAGTTTTAGCTATACAATTTGGGATGGGCACCTTTGGAATGGAGTGGGAGGAGGAATGGATTTCCAGAGGGGAAAATTGCAGACTACAGGAAGCATTTGCACCACTCAGGTGACCCTGAGGACACAGATAAAACCTCCAAGTGGCCTCAACGACCCTCCCGAAGGATGCAAATGACCAGCTGTCTGCAAGGAATATCAATCCTTCCCTTCTCCATCATCCAGACTTGGATGAGAAATGTCTTCAAAAGGAAAAGCCAGAAAATCCAGGTGCCTCTTGGAAAAAGCCCCTTTGGGACAAACGTCCGGATCGCCAGTTAGGTAACTAGCGCACCTTGGCAGGTGAGGACTTTTGGTTTGTTCGAAAGGCAGACCAGGGAAACGGGAGTCCGTTGATGCCGGCAGTTATCCCGAATCAACGGCCCCTTCTCTGGGATCCCCGGACCGGACCGGGAGGAAAACTGCCGGCGATGGGGCCGAGGGCCGCTCCCTTCCCCCGAATCGGTCGCCCGGTGGAAGGAAAACCGGAGCCCCGAAGCTCCTGCCCGGCTCCGGGTGGCGGGCGAGAGAGCGGCCCCCATCCCGCTTCCTCCCTCCCGAGGGAAGAGACGGAGCCCGGCCGCCAGCGGCGCCCTCTGGGCGGACGGGAGCCGGGGATTCCCAAGCAAAGGCGTCGCCCTCCGGATTTTGGGGGGGGCGGGAAGCTTGGCGAGCCTTGCCTATTTTTTTAGGGGGGGGGCGAGAGAGAAAGCAGCCTCCCCCGCAACGGTCACTGCGGTTCTACCTCGCTTTTCCGCCAGGAACGGCACAGGCTGCACCGCTTCCCACCGCCCAGCGAGCCCCCTGCGAGGTAGGCCGGGCGGGGCACGCCCAAGCCCCCCCCACCCCCATTGGAAGCGGCGTCGGAAAGCGAGGCTCGCTTCTCGCTGCAGCTCCGACGAGGCTTCTTCTCCCGGGCTGCGGTCGATCCCCCGCCGGCAGGCCGGCGAAACCGCGCGGCTTGTTTCGCAAAGTCAGCGGCGGGCAGGCGAACTGGCCATTGGGGGGGCGGGGGCGGCTTTCTGGATCCTGCTGATGCCCGGAGGGCGCGCCGAGGGGCGCCAACGGGACCAAGGCTGCCCAGCCGTGCAGAGAGGCCGGGTGGGGCCGCCCGGACGCCTCCTGCCTCGGCCGGGGACGGAGCGACTCGCGGGGGGCAAAGGAAAAGAGGCGCAGCGGGGGAGGCGCGGACGAGGCGTCCGACGGAGCCGCAGCTGCCCGCCCAGCCGCATGGGCATCGGGCTCCCACTTCGGAAAGGGCGCCCGTCGTCCGTGTCTTCTTCCCCGCCCGGCCAGCCTGGCAGATTTCGAGGGGCCGCTTCGTTTTGATGGGGCTCCCGAGCCCTCGATCCCGGCCGGCTTCCGGGCATTCACGTCGGGCAAAAAAAAAACCAAGCCCGGTTTGAAAGAGTCCCCTGGCCCTTCGGCTCTCCCGTTGGGCGAGGAGGAAGAAGCTCTCGCCTGAGCAGGATAAGAGAGTTGGAAGGGATCCTGGAGGTCTTCTAGTCCGACCTCCCCTCCCCCCGCCGGCTCAAGCCAGGAGACCCACTCCCGCGACGGTCGCTCCCCGGACCTCGCCCGAAGGGAGGGTGGGGAGAGCGGACGGGAGGGAAAAGTCGGCCACGTTCAAGCCAAGGAGCCGCCTGGGCTCCCAATCGAGCCCCGCAGGCGGGGCGGCCCGGCCCCCCCCCCCCCCCCCCCCCCCCCGTTCCCGGGGGGGGGGGGGGCAAAGGGAAGCTCGGCTCCCTCTCCCGGCCCGGCGCGCTTTTTAAACCGACCCAACCGGCTCCGTGAGCCGCGGGAGGCCCG